CCGACAGTAAAAAGTGTTCATTAAGTTGGTGTAATTGTCGAGTTATATCCACGGAGTTCTTCAACAGTTCCTATAAAGATAGCTTTTTGTTCAGCAACATGGTACGGTTTGTGTCTGTGGAGATAGCACGTCTTCACCCTAACATTGCACTCAGCCAAAAAAAAACAAACCCACGACAAACTATAAATTAATTTTTATTTGTCAAACCTTACAGTAATGGTAACCTTGACAAACTAAATCTTTAAAGTCTTTCAAGATCGCACTCAAACACACCTCAGGCACCGTCCTTTTTGCTTTGAATTCCATTTTAGATCATTCAGTCATTCAATATAGAACTGAGCGCAACCAACATTTTTTATAAGATACTTTTTGGTTCCTGGTTGTCCCCAAGAAAAACCTCTCCCTGAAAACAGAGCAACAGTAATAATATGCATAACTGACAATCTAGGCTAGAAGGCGACCGAGAAAGACCTGGATAGACGGAGTCAGGGAAACATTAACAACTCACGGCATCCCCCTGACCCAAGCTCTCCGGCTGGTGGCAGAGAGACGTCTCTTTCTTCCCGCGACACCCAAAAGGGTATAAGCGGCGGATAAAAGTAAGACAATCTTGAGGAAACGTTTGACGGTACCCCAGGTTGCTGTTCTTGGTATTCATCAAGACTCCTCACCGATCGGGAATTTTGTTCAAAATGACTCTGTCCGATGAACTATTTACTGGGCACTGGAACAGCTCGGCTGACAGATGCCCTGAACCGGAAGGCGAAAGTCTCCAGGGATCTTTTTGTGACGGGAACTTCACTGAATCGATGTCCAATGTAAGTGGAAACCTGGGCGAGATAGAGGGGTCAGCAGGGTGGTGGCTCGACACTGCCGTTGTTTTAGCTGTGGTCCAGATTTTAAAGATGGCTATCATCCCCGCTGTATCCATTTTAGGGGCAGCTGGGAACTTGATCAGCGTCCTGGTCATCAGCAAGAGCGGACTCCGAAAAACCTCCAACATCCTCCTGTTCGCTCTCAGCGCGGAGGACGCGTCCTTTCTGATTGGCGTCAACAACATCCCGTTCCTGCTCTACACCTATGTGGACGGCGACGCGGATGGCTGGCATTTCTCCGAGTCTATCAGCCACGCGTTGTATTGCTTCTATTTCGTCTTTGCCTGGTTCCAAAACATTGGTCTGTGGTGCTCCATGACCATCCTGGCTTTCATGACCATCGAGCGGCTCCTTGCTATATTTTTCCCGCTCAAGTTCCGAATCATTGTCACTCCATTTCGAACGTGGACCACGTTGCTCTTGATGCTCCTCTACTACAACGGCTCTTTTGCTTTCGGCCTCACTTGGCACCAGTTTTATTATTTTAATAGAAACACGACTTCCTTCGGTATTATCGGCTCTTCGACCGTGATAAACAGACAGAAAAATAAGGCGCTCTTGGACGCGTTGGAGACTGTTCTAATTGTTACCACAGGAATCCTCCCACTCTCCATCGTTATTTCCTGGTCTGTGATCATCAGTTTCAAAGTGGCTCGTGCTGCCAGACAACGAAAGACAATGACATCATCATCATCATCATCATCATCTGTAGCCACAAGAAGTGTGGCAAACTCTCGAACGACAAGGACTCTCCTCACCGTCTGCGTGGTCTATTCTATCACGGGAAGCTTTCACTACATCATTGATGAGATTTTTACCTTAACCATTTCGGAAAACGTGGAGGTTCAGCTCTTTCAAGCCTTGAAGAAACTGTCCATTTGCATCAACAGCGCCTGCAATTTCCTCATCTACGTAACCACCAACAAAGACTTTCGAATGTTTCTTCGACGCAGCCTGTTTAAAGGGATGAATGGTGCAAAGTCTGACGGTAAAGCGAGGAAAATGGCGGTCCGGTTTTGACCACAAGGGCGGTGGGAGACCCACAGTGCGGTGTGTAATTTTATATGGAAGACAATTGGGAGGCGTGTCTTGTTTTCGCAATATCTATCTATCTATCTATCTATCTATCTATCTATCTATCTATCTATCTATCTAT